CTTGGGCAAACTGACCACAAGAGCCATCTGAGTGACTAAAGCTATTGGGGCCCGTGGGGTTCCTGGGCACCAGCAGGCCACGGGCCTTTGTCATTAGAAACACGTGAGTGTCTCACTTGTGCTCATCCCAGACCTGCTGCAGGGCAGGTTTCCAGTTCGGGTAGCATTCTCCTCACTTTCCCTGTGCAGCGGGCGTCGGGGACCCGGGACCCACATTCCACAGGGAGCTGCCCTTCCCTTCCCACTTCACCATTCTTGATCCCAGCCAACAATTCTTGTGCGCTCCAGACCCAGATGCAGCCCAGATTTCGGGGGGGGGGCGGGGATCCCCATAAAGCAGCATTTCTGCTTTCCTGAGGTTTGAGGGTGTGGTACCCATATAACCACAAATGAGGCCATTAAAACAAGCCTTGGCCATTTCACCAGCCCAGGGCCTAGTCTTCCCAGGGCATCCAGACTCCATAAGGTCCCCACCAGAAGTAGTCCTGCCTTCCACAAAGAACATGGGCCCTGGTGTCCAGAGCTCAGGCTTGTGACCTGACTCTGGTACTGACTGACTTGCTGTGTGACCTGGCCTCCTTAGAGACAACTTTTTTGTTTTGTTTTGGTTTTTTGAGACAGGATTTCTCTGTGTAGTTTTGGAGCCTTTCCTAGAACTCACTCTGTAGCCTACGCTGGCCTTGAACTCACAGAGATCCACCTGCCTCTGCCTCCCGAGTGCTGGGATTAAAGGCATGCGCCACAACAGCCCAGCTCCTTGGGGACCACTTAATGAAGCCAGTAGGGGTGGGTTTGCAGGAAGGTAAAAAAGCTTGCACCCCAGCACTTCATGGTGCAGCCAGGGCACTGGAGGGGTGAGCGCTCCCTGGCCCTCACTCATCTATTTGCTAAGTAGAGATAGGATGTTGCCTGAGGAGGGTGAATGGCTGAGACAGAAGGGACACTCAAGAGATCTTAAGTGTCACCCAGTCACCACCTCCCCGTCCTCTCTCTATAAATGGAAGACACAGATGCTGGGCTAGCCCAGGTGGCTGTGGGAACCCATCATCTGTGGAGTACCTGGCAGGTCCAGAGAGAGGACAGCCATGGCTGGATGTCACCCACTCAGCTGTAACATGGTCCCCATGCGGGGAGGGGAGTGAGCCGCTCAGCACATCTGGGGTAGGTACAGTTTCACTTCAGGCCCCAGCTGACATTACAGAAATGGGGCGGGGCTTCTGTGGGCTGAGAAATCAGCAGCTTTTTTGGCAATGTTATTTCTCTTGAGAGGGATGGGAGCCGCCCATGTCATCCAGCCGCTAACAGCTGCGCTGGAATGGATGGGACATGGCCGTCCACCCACCCATAAGCACCTTTGCTCAAACAAGGTTTGAGGCTGTAGCCCCAGACTGGGCCCTTGAGGGAACAGCCCACTCCTATCCTGAGATGCCTGCTCTAAGGAGACAGCACCCCGGGAGGTGCTGGGAGGACACCTCACGGGGGATGGATGCTGTCAGTGGTCAGGAGGTTTCCCAGAAGGGGAGCTCTCTGAAATGAACTGGAAGTGGGAGGAGCCATTGTTTAACCTGCCCACAAGCTACTTCCCTTAGCTTGGGTTTCATTCTGCATAAGAGGGGCCAAGGGAACCCACCGAAGGGAAGGGATACCAGGCCGGCAGGACAGGAAGCGGGATCTGCTCTGGCTCTCCTTGGTCCCAGCGGAAGTGCTGGAGAGGAATCAAAACTTTTTCCAGAGCCCTTTCCTCCAGTGATTACCGCCTGTCACTTAATGCAGCCAAATCTCTTGTGTTTGAAAACCCTTACATGTCTTTCTCTCCTGGAGTAAGGTAATAGGAACTCCTCCACCCAGTGAGAGAGAGGCAGAAGTTTCAAGAATTCGGTTTATCCTCACCCTCCGGCCCCCTGAGGTGGGGCTGCCGAGATGGCTCAGTGCTTAAGAGCACTGGGTGCTCTTCCCAGCACTGGATGCTCTTCCTAGCACCTGCACAGCAGCTCACACCTGTCTGTAATTCCAGTTCCAGAGACCCAATGCCCTCTTCTGGCCTCCATGGGCACCAGTTATACATATGGTATATATATATATATATGCAAGCAAGCAAAACACTCATATACATAAAATATGCATAAGCAATTTTTTTTTTTAATGTTTTTTCGAGACAGGGTCTCACTGTGCAGCCCTGGCTGTCCTGGAGCTCAGTTTTTAGACCAGACTGGCCTTGAACTCAAAGAGCTACCTGCCTCTGCCTCTGCCTTCTGAGTGATGAGATTAAAGGTGTGCACCACTACGCCCAGCAACAAATCTTTTCTAAAGTTTCATTTCATGTTACAGAGGTGTTTTTGTTTTTGTTTTTTAATATTTCACTTACATACAAGTACATAATGTAAGTGCATCACATGCATGCGGTGCCTATTGAGGCCAGAAGAGGGCATCTGATCCTCTGGAACTGGAGTTAACAGATGGCTGTGACTGCCATGTGGGTACTGGGAACCGAACCTGGATCTCCTGGAAGAGCAGCCAGTGCTCTTAACCACTGAGCCATCTCTGCAGCCCCCAAATAAATAAACCTTTAGAAAGAGATAGTTCGCCTCCACACACCTTGCTTTCCACAGGACCTGTGTCCTGGGGATGTGTCAGGCAGTACATTAGACACTGAGGCTTTTGTGAGGACCTAAGGCACTTTAACCCCTCAACGCCCCTTGCTCCACCATTCATCTTAAGAACTGTCATTGAGCACCTACTCCATGCCTGGTGATGGGGAGTCTCCCACAAGAGCCCAGCTGCTGTAGGCCAAGTTCTGGGGGGGGGGGAGGGAAGAGCACCAGGTTACAGGCCCATAAAAACAGCAACAGAATATTAACTGAGTGCTGGTGGTACACACCTGTAATCCCAGCATTTGGGAGGTGGAGGCAGAAGGTTCAGGAGTCCAAGGCTAGCTCAGGCTACATAATAAGACCCTGTCTCCCGAAACAAAACAGATGTAACAGGCTGAAATAATACAAGGAACGTAAGAGGCTGCTGTAAGAGAGTGTGGGGAACTACCTAAAGTGCTTTGGACATTTGAGCAGGTGGCATTTAATTTGAGACTGGAGCTGCCTGTGGGAGGAGCAAAAACCAGAAAAGAATGTTCCGGAGAGGGGGCCACAGCTAGGAAGGACTTGGCTGAGAAGGAGCAACCTAGGTATCCGCAGATTTGAACAAAAGCCAGAGGAGCGATCTGGAGCCTTGGTGGGTGCTAGCTGAAGGGGAGGGTCAGGGACAGTAGCCCCGAGCCTGGCGAAGTTGGGGAGCACAGGGACTTTGAATCAAGTGTGGGGTGATGAGAATTTCATTTATAATGACTGGCTGACTCTGGCAGTTCAGTGGGCTGTCGGATTTGAAGGCAAGCACCTTTACGTGGCTGAGCCATCTTGCTGGCCCATAAAGCCTGGAAACCCCCAGGGGCCACCTTGCTCACTGACCCCTCCCCCTGCCTTGGACAGCCACCTCACACCTCGACACTGGTTCATTTGCATATATGCCCAACAGTGAGAATCAAGTTGGGAGGGAACAGAGATGGTGCTTTGGAGGGATGGCTCAGAGGTTAAGAGCATTGGCCGCTCTTCTGGATGACCTAGGTTCAGTTTCCAGCACCCACATTGTGGCTTACAACTATCCATAACTCCAGTTACAGGGGATCCAATCCACCGTTCTGACCTACCTGGCATGAATGTGTTGCACATACATTCACACAGACAAAACCTTCATACTACCTTCATACTCTTTTTTTTTTTTTTTTTAGTTTTTTGAGACAGGGTTTCTCTATGAAACCCTGGCTGTCCTGGAACTCACTTTGTAGATGGGGCTGGCCTTAAACTCAGAGATCCTCTTGCCTCTGCCTCCTAAGTGCTGGGATTAAAGGTATGTGCCACCACTGCCAAGCTTTCATTTTTATATTATGTATTGGTGTTTTGCCTGCATATATGTCTGTGTGAGGGTGTCAGATCCCCTGGAACTGGAGTTCCAGACAGTTATGAGCTGCCATGTGGGTGCTGGGAATTGAACCGGGTCCTCTGGAAGACCAGTTAGTGCTTTTAACTGCTGAGCCATCTCTCCAGCCCTTGTACACAATTTTTTTTAAAGTCTGAAAAAAGAAAGAAAGAAAGAAAGAAAGAAAGAAAGAAAGAAAGAAAGAAAGAAGGGAGG